CACAGTGATGGCCGTCAGTTATCTCTGGCGTAAAGCTATAAATTACTATTACTACTAATACTTCTACTAGTAATAGTAGTAGTAGTAGGTAATGGAGAATTAAGAGAATTGCTGCCGCTTAATCGCTTGTGATAACAACCAAGTAATTCCTGTATACATGAGGAATTATACCATTCGGAGTCTTAGGTACATTTTAGTTGTTATTCTCACAGTGTTTCTGACAATAAAAACGAGCATGTTGGTCTGAATAGATAAACATATATTAATGGTGATTTCTACTCTCAAAAATTCAGACACAAATTATCAGATCGGTACGGATCCGAAATGAAGGGCCTATAATCAAACCGTTGTAATGGGGATAACAGAAAAGACGAGCGTGTTGGTCTGAACAGAAAAACATACAACAATAATGATTTCTGATCTCAAAAATTCAAACACATATTATTACATAAGTACGGTTCCGAAATAAAGAACCTGTGATCAAAAAGTTGTTGTGAGTATAACAGCTAAAACGAGCGTGTTGGTCTGACCAGGAAAACATATAATATTAATGATTTTTGATCTCAAAAATTCAGACACAATTTATCACATCGATACGGATCATAAATGAAGGACATATGACCCAAACGTTCTTATGAGCAGAACAAACCAAGATGAGAGTGTTTTTCAGAATAAGACCGAAGAGCATATCAAAATTTGCTGAAACCTGCTATCATTTAATCCCTAGTGATAATCAGGAGAAAAATTTGGTGCTAACATGAAGAAAAACATCCTTGAAAGCCTGCTACGATAAGCTGTCAAGGTATTTGGGTGTAATTGATCCCCAGCGACGCCCAACAGAAATTTCTAATGTATATATTCATTTTGCATCATTATTATTATTATTTTTATTTCCTTTGATTTCTGGCGTTTACACATTTCTTTCCGGGTCCCGCCCAGTGACCTAAGTTTAGAAATGGCATCATGACACTTTCCACTGACAAAAAAAAAGAATTATTATTATTATTATGATTATTATTATTGTTGTGGTAGGATCCACCTAATTTGCATAGTGGAGTACCGACCATATAAATATGGTTGCTACCGGGAAGAGAGGGAGGAATCAAGAGATTCAACCAGAGACTCTGCCCGACTGCGACTCAGTCAACACATTCTCCAGGAACGGTCTTACCAGAAATATACAAAAGACTATATGTAAATATTGTGTACACTTTCTTGTTTCAATAGATTTTGTTCTAAGTACATTTTGTGTTGCTTTATTATTCCATGCATTAGTCAAGTTTCAACAATTATTATTATTGCAGTAATTTCTGCAAATTTCCGAAGACTTGTTGGCCCTTGATTATCAACGAGAGGAATCAACAACGTGTAATGCGAAGTTGCGTATAATAATATTATAATTGCCTTGACATTGATAACGTTGAGGTTGTCAAGAAGATATAGATTGCGGGCAAATTTGAAGAGGCATGCTATCATTCAGTTAGTAATGATGGCTACGTGGTGACCAGAAATAAAGGTCATGATTAGGGGAGGCCCAGAGACGATGCGACAGAATGCAATATGACAAAACAAGACAAAAAACGAGTGAAGAAATAACGTTTCATGTTTTATGGAGAACAAAACGAACGCTTAAGCTACGCGATAAGCAGATATGGTTTATCTGCTTTGAAAGAGACAATGAAAAATAAGAATAGAATGTGATACACTGGGAATTGGGAAAATTGGGGAGTATCTCAATGGAAGCGATAGAGATTTGAAAACACGTTGTTACTTTTGATAAATAGCGATATCCGCTAAAATAACGCGTGAGAAGATAGAGATTATGAGACTGACAATAACAGGGATGACGATTATGGAAATGATGATTAGATAAATTGTTCACAAAACATAATTTTCAAAGTACAAAGTAATGTCTAACAATATACACGATGTTCATTGTTGTTTCGACGGTAGGGAATTGTTTGCAAAAAATAATTTTAATAGCACAAACTAATATCTCTAACAATAGACACGATGTCCATTGTTGTTTCGACGGTAGAGAATTGTTTGCAAAAAATAATTTTAATAGCACAAACTAATATCTCTAACAATATACACGATGTTCATTGTTGTTTCGACGGTAGGGAATTGTTTGCAAAAATAATTTTAATAGCACAAACTAATATCTCTAACAATAGACACGATGTTCATTGTTGTTTCGACGGTAGGAATTGTTTGCAAAAAATAATTTTAATAGCACAAACTAATATCTCTAACAATATACACGATGTTCATTGTTGTTTCGACGGTAGGAATTGTTTGCAAAAATAATTTTAATAGCACAAACTAATATCTCTAACAATAGACACGATGTTCATTGTTGTTTCGACGGTAGGGAATTGTTTGCAAAAAATAATTTTAATAGCACAAACTAATATCTCTAACAATATACACGATGTTCATTGTTGTTTCGACGGTAGGGAATTGTTTGCAAAAAATAATTTTAATAGCACAAACTAATATCTCTAACAATAGACACGATGTTCATTGTTGTTTCGACGGTAGGGAATTGTTTGCAAAAAATAATTTTAATAGCACAAACTAATATCTCTAACAATAGACACGATGTTCATTGTTGTTTCGATTTGTAGGGAATTGTTTGCAAAAAATAATTTTAATAGCACAAACTAATATCTCTAACAATATACACGATGTTCATTGTTGTTTCGACGGTAGGGAATTGTTTGCAAAAAATAATTTTAATAGCACAAACTAATATCTCTAACAATATACACGATGTTCATTGTTGTTTCGACGGTAGGGAATTGTTTGCAAAAATAATTTTAATAGCACAAACTAATATCTCTAACAATAGACACGATGTTCATTGTTGTTTCGACGGTAGGGAATTGTTTGCAAAAATAATTTTAATAGCACAAACTAATATCTCTAACAATAGACACGATGTTCATTGTTGTTTCGACGGTAGGGAATTGTTTGCAAAAAATAATTTTCATAGCACAAACTAATATGTCTAACAATATACACGATGTTGATTGCTGTTTCGACGGTAAGAAATTGTTTACAAAATTAATTTTCATAGCACAAACTAATGTCTCTAACAATATACACGATATTGATTTCGGTTTTGACGGTAAGGAATTGTTTACGAAAAGTGATTTTCATGGCACAAACTAATGACTAACAATATTCACGATGTTGATAGCAATTTTTCTAGTTAGAAATTGTTTGCGACAACAATTTTCATTGCAAAAACTGATAACGTCTCTAATATTCTTGATGTTGATAGCAGTTTTAATATTTCGGAATTCTTAACAGGAAAATTCCTTTCTGAAACTAATGTCTCTAACAATATTCACGAAATTGGTGGCTGTTTTGATTGTAAGGCGTTGTTTCCAAGAAGAAAATTTTCATTGCAAAAACTGATAACGTCTTCAACAATATTCACGATAGTAGTTTTAATGTTTCGAAATTAAAAACTAGAAAATTACTGTCATTGCTCACTCTCATGCCTCTAACAATATTCGCTAAAATGGTGGCAGTTTTGATTGTAAGGAATTATTTCCGAGAATATAATTTTCATTGCAAAAACTGATAACGAGGGTGAATGGAGTCTCTCTGAGCCTTGGTTGACAATCCATTTAGTGATGGTGTCACGATAAAAAAACACCCTTGATAGCCCTAGCGAAGCATCAAGAATTCAGCTATTTGACAAGATGATGAACTACACCAATCAAAGTATTAGTGAGTTCGCAAGATGATGATGATTCATGATGTTGATGGCAGTTATGATGGTAATATTGCTAGAGACATTATTAGTTTTGGCAAATAAAATTATTTCCTTACAAAATGTATTTTCCATTAAAATTGCTATCAAAATCGTGAATATTTTTAGAAACATTTTTTGTTGTGCTATGAAGATTATTTTATTGTTACAAGATATGTTTCTAACAATATTCACAATGGTGATAATGTAATTTTGGTAAATATATCTGTTAAAATTTTCATTTTTGCCTAATTTAGACGACAATTAATCCATCGCACTCTTTACATGTAGAAAATTGCCCATAGCCCTTAAACGGTGAGAGAAGAATACATAAATGTACCTGTAAAGTTGGGGACAACTACTCTTTTTAAAGAGTAGTTTTCTACTTATTTTCGCTTTAATTATATCTTCTCATGTGTACCGTGTCTCTTCAGATCGTGTACCATTATAGATTTCTAAAAGTTCCTCTTCTTTGTAGCTGTCTCTCCTGATTCCTATTCTGGTAACCATTTGCACAAGCTCGTTAGGTAAGCTATTCACTGTTTTCTTCTGTCGCTGCAGCCTTCAGTATGTCCTGTGAGTGTCAAATTTTCTAAGTCCTCTTTCCTCATTATGTATCATAGAAATTTCAACTATTCCTTTCTAATCCTAAGTATAAGTTTTTTTTTTCTTCTTTTGTTTCCATTGGCCTTAAAACTTTCTCCTTGTTCACATGTTCAGGCCATGATATCCTAAGTATCCTTCTGTAGAACCAAATTTATTCTCTATCTGTGAGGAGATGGTCTAGAATTCAGTACTCTTTTCTTTGTTGTGGAGATGTCTTAACAGGAAAATTCATTGCTCAAACTGATGTTTCTAACAATATTCACGATGATGATTTCTACTCTCAAAAATTCAGACACAAATTATCACATCGGTACTGATCCGAAATGAAGGGCCTATAATCAAACCGATGTTGATTGCTGTTTCGATGACAAAAACTATAATAATACAAGATTCTGCGAACTTTGATGCGAGACTGGTGTAAAGGATAATGGCTCGGGATTGTTAAACGGAGGTCCGAGTTCCAATTCCGGCTGAGTTCGTTATATTCGACTGGGAATGTTATAAATCCACCTCTTCTCACCCTGCGGTTATACGTTAATTAGGAAGACTTTTTTTTACCTGCAGTATCGATGATAGATTACTAAAAATTGAATTATTTAAACTTTTACTAGGCTTACAGCTACATCACGTTAAAACACCAGTTCTCATTCAATCTCCAAAGTTAAGCAACCTTGAGCTTGGTCATTACCGAGATGGGTGACCACTTGGGAATACCAGATGCTGTAAGTTCGAATGTGCGGGTGACGTAGTGGATAATGGCTTGGAAATGTTAACCGGAGAACCGAGTTCGAATTCCCATTGGATTCGTAATATTCAATTGTGCACAAATACTCTCACCTCCAGCTATGGGTTAATTGTTAGAATTTTTGGGTACCTTGGTGTCAGCCAGCCAAAGTGACTCATTTTATAGTTCACCAATAGAAGGGTTAACCAATCAGAAGGCTCAAAATATTCAATGCGAAGTGTATAAAGGCGGCCATGTTTTTTCCCCGAATATTCACTGCCAGCCTTTGATATCGAAGACTGAAGAATTACGGAACAGCTGCTGGTGGTATTGGCGATAGAATCAGATTCAGTAGAGTGTCTGACTCGTGGGTGTTAATCTTTAACGTTGTTTCATTGAACAGATTACGTACTGCGCTGTATTCTCTATTCATAGACTATGGTGAACATGGTTAACATTAGTTAGTAAAGCTTGTATCACTAAACCATTATTACCTCAAAAAAATTCTTACAATCTAAAAATATTTTATGGCTTTAAATAACCTGCAAAGTGTAGAAAAGGAATCCAACAAAAGTTTTTCGTTTCTGACGAAATTCTCATGTTTTTTAATACTTTGCTTAGCTTTTGAAAGGTACCTTCTAATGCGGAAAAAAACATGAAACAAAAGTTTCAGCTTCTTAAATTTAATATTTTTCGCCTGGAGAAGTCTGCAGGCAGACATAAAGCAGTCTATGGAATGATTTTCCGGTTTTAGTTGCAGGCAAATATTGGTCCTGATCTGGTGTCTTAGTTTCAGTTAGTCACATCGACGTAATGTATCTTCCCTGTACATTTTGCCCCTGCTGTTCATTTTGAGGTCCTCGACAAAATCCAAAGAAGAATCTGCAATGTTTTCAGTCTTGACCTGGCATCTCTACTCCAGTCACTTTCTTTAAGATGTGAGGTGGCTTTCCTCTGAATTTTTCTACAAATATTTTCATGGCAACTGCTCTGACGAGGTATTTTCCATGGTGTCCCGCTACATGAATTTAAGCGTGCTACTAGGTAGGTATTTAAGTCCCACCCTTTTATTGATGAAAATGTTAAATGTAACCGATCTTCTACTCCAGCAGCTTCTTCTCTCGTGCTTCCTAACAGTGGAACTCCTTCCTCTTACTTGCTTCCCTGATAACTACAATCTTAAAAAATTTTAAATGCAATCGGCATCTTTTGTTGCCTTGAACCCCGTTCTTCTTTTTATCCTTTCCTCAACCCCCTCCCTATACCCAGTCTTTTCTCTTACTTTCACTCTCTCTATATATTCGATAAGGGCAAGTTGGAGGCTGATGTCAAAAAAGACATGTCTCTTGTTAACTTGGGCAAAGAATGGCTTGTTAATTTTAATGCATACAAACGAAACTAGTCTCTATTAACCATCTGAGAGACCCCGTTTTGCCTTCAACATGGCTGATGCTAACCTCCAGCAGAATGACTCGTTGCGTCTTCTCAGGCTAACGTTCTCGGTTGACATGAAGTGGAAAGACTATATTGAATCCATTACTAGGTCAACTGATAAGGCAGTTAGTTCACTATGTCGTGCTAGATAATCTTTCTCTTCGGAATCTATCTTACATATCTATAAGTCTGCTATTCATCCATGCTTTGAATGTCGTCGTCGCATCTGGTATGGTACTCCTGTATATGTTTAGAGATTCTTGATACAATCAGCAATATTATTGTTTCTAACCTGTCGTCTCGGCTTCAGTCATTTTCCCGCCGCCGTAAAGTTGTTTCATGTACCTTTCCTATAAGTACTTTCGTGATAATTTGTTCGGAGGTACTCTTCGCTATGGTACCTAGATATTATGAATTTAATTGCGATACGAGATTAGCGGCAAGGACTCATCAATTCACATTTAATTGCCTAGAAGTAACCGTAAGTTCTATGCTAACAGTTTCTTTTCTTGCACTTCTCGCTTGTGGAACTCTCTTCTGGCTCCATGCTTACCAGCCAATTTTGATCTAAAAAAAAAAAATTAAATGCAATTTTAAAAATATCTACCATCTTTCTAAATTTCTGAGATTTTAATTATTTACATTATTTAAGGAATCAACCCATATGCTAGGCCACAAAAAAAAAACCTAAGCCGGCCCAGCATAGGAATGAATTCAATCTGACAACCAGTAATACGAAGTGCTAGAGAAAAGCGATGAATAACAACAAAATTATAATATGAGCCCTGGTAAAAAAAAGGTTACTGAGGCATTAAGTTTATAAGTACCCCAAATTCATACACAGATGTCCTCAAGGACACATGGAAGCGTTGATTGAATCCAGTGAATTGATCCAAAGATTTGTGAGTTCAATACCTAGCTACGGCTGGGGAAATAACTGAGACATCCAGAAAAGACATGTCACGTGGAACTAAAACAATCTCTCCCGGTGGACAAAATAAAGGGTTCAGTTCGGAATTCGAATCACATGAAGAAGGCCGGGCATAAAACGGCCGAAACGTCGTGAATATGGCAATAATGAGGAAGACAACAGTTCGAACGATATAAATATTTGCTATCTTCTTGATTACTTTTCTCTTGTTCTCGCTTCTTGATAACGTTTCTCTTTTTTTCTTATTCTTTCACATTCAGTAACCCCTTGTGTCTTCGTGGCTTTGCTGGAGTGAAATGATTAAAAAATTACGACTTATAAATGCTCGAGTTGCCAATTAGTCATTTAGAAATGAATCGTGAGTGAACGATGCCTCCGTAATATATTGCTGCTGGGATGAAATGAGGTGACGAAGACACACACACACATATATATATATATATATATATATATATATATATATATATATATATATATATATATATATATATATATATAAATTCATTTTTTCGTTTCACCTTTTGAAAATGAAGTCTGAAGATCCAGAGTAAATTAAAATTCTCTGGTGAAATAAATTATTACTAATGGAGCCTTAAGGTGGTCTGTTTTTTTTTGGGTGAGGGGTTAAATTATTCGCTCTGACTTAACATTGATCTCTCAGGATTTCATGCTCCTTGGAATTATCAATACCGATTACAAAGATTTTCGCTACTTAACTATATAGCAGGCACGGTGGAGTAATGGATAGCGGCTTGGATTGAGGGATCGCAGAACCGAGTTCGAATTCCAGTCGAATCCATTACATTCACTTACGTGCTAATACCCTTGGAAAAAGGTATGGGTAAAATAGCAGGACAGACTGGGTTCTATAGCCTTGGATGGCAACTGGTCTAGGAGAAGGACAACTCTGAATTCAAAACCTGCGGAGGGTCGTTTGGGAACCTTGTGGCACTTAGTGCACCAGGTCTCTGTATTCGTCTCTTCAAAGAGTGTGGATGGTCCTGCAGGGAGCCTTCACCACAATAATCAAATCTCATGTGTCGTTGTCGGGCTGTCGGTTTCCTGGAAACTGATTTGCTTGGCCCTCATACGTCGAAATCGACGGGAGAGTCGACTACTATATATATATATATATATTTCTTGTTTGAGTTGCAGCGAACGGATAATGAATATCAAAAAGGTTAGGATTGCGCACACAACAATGACGGCGACAAAATCTTCGGTGAATCTCTAGTCAGACTCTCTGTCCAGATCAAGAATCGGATCGGTTATATAACATTGGGACACCTACGCAACTTCACGTTACTACACCTTCTTCCAGTACGTCGCCGACGCAACTTCGTGTGGCTACGCCTGTTCCGGCATGCGCCCACGAAAACACACATTTCTTTCCGCTCAGGACACCCGAGCGCCCTGTTTATTTTAGACACAGGATGCAGTTCTTGTTTATACTATCACTACTTGCGATTTCCGCTCACACACTGATGCGCGTAAGTAAGGCCAAAGGTCTTTCCACAACCAATATCCAACACCTGTATCGTTGCAAAAAATATCATTAAAAAACATTAAATTCTCAATTGCTGTTATCGGCTGATTTCCATGTAACATGATCTCCGCCGTTTCAGAGATAAAATATACAACTGTTAAAATATGTTTGCGCTGAGTCATATCTGACTAATCATTTGTACCAAATATGAAAGTTAACTTATAAAAATTAGCGTGCCGGTTAGGCACTTCGACGTGGTATAATGTAATGGCAAAACTTATTTCGGTTAGAACAATTACGACTGAGTAGTGAGGCTTACAGCCATATTGCGGGGAAACACTGGTTACGCAAGCCTGGTCAGTACCTAGATGGGAATACCAGGTGCTGTAATGTGTGGGTGGTGCAATTGATAATAGCTCGGAATTGCTAATCGAAGAACAAAGTTCCAATTTCAGTTGGGTTCGTTATATTCACTTACCCGCAAACACCCTTGGGAAAGGTATGAATCTCTTCTCCCTCCAATCATGGGTTAAGTAGTAAGACTGGTATCACTAAAACTATTACTATTATATATATTAACTCAAAAAAAAATTTACAATCTAAAAATATTTTCTGGCTTTAAATAAGCTGCAAATGGTTGATAAGTCGTAAAAAAAGAATCATTCAATTGCGTAGTGAGTTTGATTCTCACTGGATGCTCCATAAATTCGGCCTTGTGCCACATCTAAACTAGGCCTTGTAAATTCATGTAAAATGAACGTGTCGGTTCAAATAAACGATCCGCCTAGAAATTCTATATAAGTTTACTGAACTGGAACAAAATAATCGTACCGTGGAGGATGTTTTGTTCCAGTTCAGTAAACTTACATAGAATTTCTAGGCGGATCGTTTATTTGAATTAATAATCGTACCGTGGAGAATAGGAGGCACGGTGGAGTAGTGGATAGCGGATTTAGGAATCCCAGAGCCGAGTTCGAATTCCAGTCGAATCCATTACATTTACTTACGTCCTAATACCCTCAAGAAATGTATGAAACATCTTCTTCTTCACCTTCCCCCACCCAGCTATGAGTAAATAGCAGGAAAGAACTGGATTCCATAACCTTTGATGGCAACTGGTCTACCGCAGAAAGAAATGGCAACCTACTGCC